CGCGTATTTACAAGGAATGGGAGGCACTGCTGAGAATGAAGTCATCTGGAACCAAAAGAATGGAAGATGTGTCAAAACTGTCCAGGTCCCCAGTCACCATGAAACTAACTAGCATGCTGCCAAACTAGCAACCCAGCACCAGTCCCCCTGACCTTCTGAGTGCCCAGCTCGTGCTGACCACAAGGAGACTTCAGCCCCTTGGGCAGATCGGGGCATAGATAGCAGCCAAGGCAGAGAGGGAGGCAGTGTATGCCTTGGCTCCTGTTAGCTCACAGGGCCATTGATTTCGTCTGTTGAAGGACAATAAATGGGATTGTGTGCAACTGAGCCATAAGTGCCTGGTTTTATCTCTCGCCTTCGCACTGACATCTTCGAACTGCATCTTTACTGTAACTCCAGCCTAGCAGTCAAGTACAGCACCGCATTATCCAGGGCCAGGCAATTGTCACATCTGTTCTAAAGGAAGTGTTGACTCAACCCAGCCCAGGAAACCACCACCAAGAGTAAAAGGTCTCCAGAGATTGGATGGAACCTTTTAAGTTATTTACACAAGCATTTGGTCTGGAACTTGAGTCACAGTTGATCCTTGCTTCTTACAAGGGAAATTCTTTTATTTATTCGTATTCTCTCTCCCTCCCTCCCCCTCTCCCCCTTTCCCTTCCACCTCTCTTTCTTTCTTTCACAGTCTTTCCTCTCTCTCTCTCTCTCTCTCTCTCTCTCTCTCTCTCACACACACACACACACACACGCACGCATACACACACACAATATCTACTTGAATCTTATTATTCTATAGCTGCTAAAGGATCTACTTGTATCTTCAAACAGGATATCTTAAGGGACCTTGCTCCAATCATGATTGAGAAACTGTTATAAAAGTAAGAGACGTCTGTCCTCACTCCTTAGTCGTGTTGGGACACATCTCTGAGGTTCAGGCAGTGGAATCGGAGATGAAAGACATGAATCTGGTTTTTATGATTTTGACGCATGGAACAGGTAAAAATGGCTATCAAGTCAGCATGTATAGAAAACAAAGTGGACGTAGGTCCCTGGTGCATTTCCCAAAGGGGATCCCATCAGTCATTACAAAGTTTTTACTGACCAGCAGTGAATATGACGATAAGCATCTTTGACTCACATGGTAGATGCCTTGAGGGGTGGGATAGGGAAGGTCAGAGGGAGATGCAAGAGGGCGGAAATATGGGGATATATGTATATGTATAGCTGATGCACTTTGTTATAAAGCAGAAACTAACACCGTCGTAAAGCAATTATACTCCAATAAAGATGTTTCTTAAAAAAAGAGGGATTTGTATTATAACGTCATATACATAGTCTTGTGCACTAAGGGTCTGTTTCTCTTATTTTTTTGTGACGATTTAAAATCTAGATTACAGTGATTTAAATATCATGGGAATCAGAAAAGCAAATGCCCTTTAGTGATTGATTTCACAGCACTTTATAAGTTCTAATAAATTAGGTTTTAAAATTCTGGCTGAGACCTTAGTTGATTTTTCGGAAGGTGGGGAAGTGTTAGTATGGACCAGCTTTGTTCTCATACTCATGATTAAGCCAGGGAATTATTATGGAATAATTCATAACAGTTCATATCAAGATGAATAATTCTTTTTAAATATATATTTTTTAAGATTTATTTATTTATTTGGCTGTGCCAGGTCTTAGTTGCGACATGCCGAACTCTTAGTTGCAGCACGCAGGATCTATCTAGTTCCCTGACCAGGGACCAAACCCGCGTCCCCTGCGTTGGGAGCGCGGAGTCTTATCCACTGCGCCGAGGGAAGTCCCCCAAGATGAATATATTCTTTGCCCTAGGGTTGTCTCTCCATCACAAATATTTGAAGTTATTTTACCTGTTTGCATTCACTTTGAGGGTGAAATTTGGAGGCCAGTTTATACATCTTCATCATCTGTTCTCTCTTCAGTAGTTTGACTAAAATTTCCCTTGCGTTCATACAAGTTCCTAAACCTTTTCTGCCCTGTGCTTCTACCTTTAATTATCTTCTTTGGTGTGGCTTTGTCTGAAATGCTGTGAAAGGGCTGGAGTTCGTTACACGATTATGTAATTTGATTTCCCCCATGTTGGGTCTGAAAAAGATGTTACACACATAAATGACTTTTTTTCCTTCAACCCAGCAGAAAAATTGCAAGGATTCCAGTAGCTAATTTTGAAATGTATAGAGCCAGCTCAGTAAACATGTGTTGCAAACTTAAATTTGAGTCCTCTGTTTTGCTGAAGTGTGTTTGTGAGAACTTGCTCAAAGAAGCATAGGTTTGTGTGTGTGTACACTTTTTTAGAGGACAGTTATTAGTATGTCTTTAGCTTAAATGAGGAGCTCACTGTATAGATTCTCTGAGACTTGAGTACCTGAAAGTTGAGTCCCTGTTCTCCAAGTATTTGGTGAAACGTGGTAAATTATTTCAACAAAGATTTGTGACTCTGCGGAGTTGCTGCTACTCTGGTCTCCTTTGCTTGCTCTCTTTTGGTCTTGAATGCACCTGCCTAACTTTTCTCCTCTTCCCCACCGTATCTTTCTCCGCACGATCTTTTCATTGTCCTCTACAGACCTTGTGTCTGCCTTTCCAACCAGCAGCCAGACCCTTCTTGGCTGATCAGTCTATGACTCTGGGAGCTCTGAAGGTAGCACTTAAAATATATAACAGTTCCCTTTCCTACGTTAAAAAGCCATGAAACCTTCATGGAAAATAGCTAAGAGGACGTATACGGTAGGAGGAGAGGCTCTTTGCTCCTGCAGGCACCTTGCAACGGGACTATTTTTCTTATATGATATAAATGAAATCTTCACTCTGCCCACTTTTACACCTACGCGTGTACTGAGCGTCTCCAAGGAGACAAGGAAACCCGGAGTCCAGTGATGGTGGTGAATCCTCCTCGGAGACAGCAGGCTGGAGTCTCAGGCAACTCTCCCAGGCGTCTTGGCTTCCAGATGCCCCTCTCAGACAGCCTCTCTTCTCAAGGCTCTTGCAGGCAGGCTTTCTCGAACACGCCTCTCCCTTCCCAGATGAAATAGCCTGTCCGTTCCATCTGAAGGGCTGGTCGTGGTGAGTTCAGTAGACAGAATGCTACTGAAGGGACAAGAAGGGTGGGTGCAGTAGGGAGGTGAGATCGGAGGGGTCCATCTTTCTCAAGATCTTTTCCTGGTCACCCGTTTCTTTATCTGTGCGTATGTTTCATTTCCTCCCTCTGGACCTCTTAGGCACGAAGCCACCACGCAACCTTACACAGCGTCTTAAACATATTCTTTGTGACAACGGTACAGTCATGAGCTCTGTTTAGTTAGATTGTCCTTTGAGGAGTGCTCCTCTTGCTGAGTCAACATTTTTAGGCATCTTTTCATGAACAGCAGCCCCCTTGACCACTCTCATTGCCCTTCCCCTGAGTTTGCTGCACGGGAAACCCCGTACCATCTTGCCTTTCCCCACTGCACCGTGTCACTCTAACTTTTCCTAGAACTATAAACACTGTTTTCTTATGTAAATGACATCTGTTCCTCTTTGAGGAACAGACTACCATCATTAGCCCATTTTTCACACTTTCTAAGATTATAGTGTCAGATCTTTTCGATACTTTGACCACGTCTCTGTGTGAATCTTCTTTCAGGCACAGATAATGAGTTATCATGTAGCAATGATTATTGATGTGATCCCCAGTAAATCTTGTTTTGTCTCTAGACTCCAGGCGCATCATTTAATGAGCCTTCTCAACATCTTGTCCATATGTACATTTTTGGTTCTCAGCTGAATTGATTCAAATAATCTAACTTCTCGTGTGATTTTCTAGCACAGTGTCTGCAGATTTCAGTGTTCTGTTGCCAATCCTGCTGTCCTCTTTGGAAAGGTGGGGCTAGCAGTTATTCCTGTTAAGTCCTTTGTCACTGAATGACTGCATGAGGATTTACTGATGACATACTGCTTTGTTTGCGCTTTCAAAAACGATTGGTCAGTCACTGGTCAGTGTTCTGCCTTTGGAGGAGTCTCGTTTTCTCCTTTGGTTTTATCTCCAGTCGATAGCACCTCCCCAGTTTCTAGCTTTAAATAAAAACCAGCCCATGGTGTAAGCTCAGAAGGACCCATTTGTGTTTGACACAGTCAGTTTTATTCACAAGCGTGTAAGGTACCCTTTGAGTGGACTTAGAGGTCAGATTGGCCAAGATTTTTTCTTACGTAGTCCATCAAGGTCACCCTGTTTTGATCTTCCTTCACAAATAACTTCACCCACAGTGCGGTCCACCACTTAGCTTTTCCTCTTTATTTGGACTCAAATGAGGTGAAAGTGTTACTTTCTTTTTTTTTTTTTTTTTTTTTTTTTTTTTGCGGTACGCGGGCCTCTCACCGCTGTGGTCTCTCCCGTCGCGGAGCCCAGGCTCCGGACGCGCAGGCCCAGCGGCCATGGCTCACGGGCGCAGCCGCTCCACGGCATGTGGGATCTTCCCGGACCGGGGCACGAACCCGCGTCCCCTGCATCGGCAGGCGGACTCCCAACCACTGCGCCACCAGGGAAGCCCGAAAGTGTTACTTTCAACTCGAGTTGCCTAGCTCCCACGAGAAGAATTGGAGGAGTATGAAGGTACCTTTGAAAGGAGCCCTTTATTGTCTCCGAAGTTTCTGGCTTTGCCCAGGTTCTTCCTGGCCTCTCTCTGCCCTCCTTCCTCAAAGTCCCAATCATTCATACTCTGTACTTCATGTCAGATTTATGAGAGGAATCAGGTGTCTGCTCAGACGGGCTGCTATGCCTGAGGAACTGTGGATGAAATTGGCTATAACTCTCAGAACATGTAAACACACTCTGGAAAGTTTTCCAACTTAAGGCTGGTGGGAAGTTCGGTTTGCTGTTTCATTTGCCCGGAAATGGAAAAGGCAAGATCTCATCCTCATGTGTCCTTCCTAGAATACTTTGTTTGCGAAGGAGGCCCGGAACCTGTGTAGTAACACAAGCGTTTTCCTTCCGTTTTTCCTTCCAGGCGCTTCAAGTGGCAAGACAGCTTCTTCTCCAGCAGCAGCAGCAGCAAGTCAGTGGATTAAAGTCTCCCAAGAGGAATGACAAGCAGCCAGCCCTTCAGGTAGCAAGTCCTTTTGTTTTTTTTGTTTTTTTTTTTTCCTTTAAGTTGATGATACACTTTGGGACCGCTGATAAGCCATTCAGAAGTGGATTGTGTTGAGAATTGCAAATCCCCGTAAGGAAATCTTCTGCAAAAAAAAAAAGTTCATTTTTGTGTCTAACACTGGAACATGACATCTGGGGGGAAAATGTCTGTTCAACCGACATTTTTGTTGTTGGGAGGAAACAAATCTAATGAGACAGTTTAATCGGAGGCCGAGGAGTTGTTGGCACGGGTTGCTTATTAGGCAGTGTGGCTTACCAATGAGGAAAAGTCCATAGTACTCACATATGTCACTCACTCTCTTGTGATCTGTCTGGAAATGGGACACGTGCGCGCGCGCGCACACACACACACACACACACACACACACACACGTTACTTTAGTGCAGTGGTTTTCAGCCGGAGTGCTTTTACCCCTCAAAGGACGGTGGGCAGTGTCTGGAGACATTGTCGGTTCTCACAACTTCGGGGAAATGGGAGCTACTGGCATCTAGTAGAGGGAGACCGGGGAGGCTACTAACATCCTACAATGCACAGGAAAGTATCCCACAAGAGAGAATTATTCAACCCAAAATGTCAATACTGTCAGGAAAGTATTGGGATTAAGGAAGATACAGTATTTTTAATACGCCTAGTAATGAATGTAATACCTACTCCATTATTCACGGGCTGTTTTCCAAATATTTCTGAATCATTAATAAAGATTGGCAAGCATTTTTTTACCTAAAGATACTCCAAAAGACTGTTTTAGCAGCTTCTCATTTCAGGCACATTGAGGGCAGGGGTTAGCGGAGTGGACGGAGTGAGTTCATAAAAATCTACTTTGAATCTTTGTCTTGGAGTAGAAAATTGTCATAGACATTTTAAAGAAACTTGACATGGAGTATCCCATGCTCCCATCCAGGACAGGGAGGGCACTTGCAGATACCAAGTGGCTCAACTACTTTCATAGCTAAGAGTAGGCATCCACCCAAATGGGAAGCAAAGATGAGTTTCCCACGCTGGGCATTCTGGAGAGGAGTTTGTAAGTGGGAGCTGGTGGGTGTAACTTGATGCCGATTAAGATGATCACAAGGTCAACCCAAATTCTAGCCTGGGTTGACTTTTCTCAGATCGGAGAGAACCAGTATACCAGCACCCAAATCATCCTACCAAGATCAAACTGACCTTGGACCACACGTTCTGGTGCTTCTGCGTCTGCTTGGAAATTGTCACCGTCTAGGGAAAGTTCAGCATGATAGTAGCGCTTTACTGGCAGAGTTGAATGACAATGTGCATTGTTTACTAACACTTCCAAAAGCAGTTTATTTGGTCAGCCACCACCAACCCATATGCCTTTTCATGTGTGTGAATGCTGGGGACATTTTTAATGAGGTCCAGTGCCACTGAGGTCCCATGTCAGGTGCTATAAGCAGCGCTTTGTTGTGCAGATGTCTTAAGAACAGCTCTGGAGGATGAAATATGACTGTGTTGACCTTTCAGCTGTGAGCTTATTTGTCAGGATTCAAATAAGTTGAAAGGATCAAACTGAACAGTTTCCGTAGTCAGACTGGGAATTGTGCTTCAGAGGTCAGCAGCGGAGGCCACATTGCAGATTCCAGAACATAGCCAAGTGTTGGTACATATTAAAGTACTGGGGCATCTCCTGCAGACAGAGACACAATTAAAATTCTAATTTATTAATGTATACAGAGAGCTAGCCCAGCCTGTCATTCAGTGATTCAAATGACTGTCCATTCTTTTTGCCTCCCCCTTGGAGCTCTCACAGCCTTAAAAATACTATGAGTCCTCTTGAATTTATCAGACCTCGAATGCGTTGGAAAAATAACAATATATTATTCGGGGGCAGAAACTCACATATCGTAGTGCTTTGGTTAGAGAGAATTTTCAAAAAGGACACACATACATGGTCTGATGAACTGCTCTTCAGTATTGAGTATCATTTGTAATCTTTTAGACTAGACTTATTTTCTAGATGCTTTGTAAAAAACATAGGGTGGGCTTCCCTGGTGGCGCAGTGGTTGAGAGTCCGCCGGCCAATGCAGGGGACACCGGTTCGAGCCCTGGTCTGGGAGGATCCCACATGCCGCGGAGCAACTGGGCCCGTGAGCCACGGCCGCTGAGCCTGCACGTCTGGAGTCTGTGCTCCGCAACAAGAGGGGCCGCAATAGTGAGAGGCCCGCGCGCCACGATGAAGAGTGGACCCCGCTTGCCACAACTAGAGAAAGCCCTCGCACAGAAACGAAGACCCAACACAGCCAAAAATAAAAATAAAAATAAAAAAATAAATAGAAATATAGTAAGCCCGTTACATGTTAACACGGATAGCGTATTTAAAAAAAAAACAACTTTAAAAAACATAGGGCATTTTTAGGTAACTTCTTTTCCAAGGTGAGTGAAGTTCCTTTAGGGCTAAGTATATGAAGTCAAGTTTTAGGGGATTTCCTTTGGAGGGCTCTTCTCTTCTTGCCCATTATAAGGCTTTTAGCCCCCAGGAGAGTATGATACAGAGGGCTTTGTTTTCCTTGGCAAAGGACAGCGTCAAAACCAGCCTAACGCATTCTGCGGAGCACTTCAGTCTGTATGAAAAGTGTGGGACGAGGGGGCCATCTTGGATGCTGGTTTTGCTAAAGAAGATGTTTTGAGTCCTTTCCTGCCCCCTCAGTGGGAGAGTTGACAAGCAAAGAATTTAGACAAGTCTTAAGAGTTGATTCCGGGGTTGGGTGGAGGGGAGAGTTGGTTGACCTATGTGTGTGTTTGTGTGTGCGTGTGTGTGTCTGTACGTACGTGTGTACACACATGCAAGTGCATCACAGACTGTTGTCTCCTCAGCTGCCTGGTAGGGTCATGCAAATTCACTAAGTTTTATTGGGTTGGCTGGCCTTCCACAAACAGAGAGGAAAAATTACTAACCTAGGCCACATGGCATATTACCTTGTTATAAAAATACTTAGGTAGACTTGGTGATTCATGGAAGGAATAACCTTCACATTTAAATCTATCTTGTCGAGCCATGTCCTTGCTGGGGCGTCTCAGCCAGAGCGGCTCTGACATGAAAGGGAAATCCTATAGCAAATCTTAACAGTGTTCATCTCTGATCTCCTTACCGTTCCTTCTACACCCAGAGACCTATTTTAGCAAATTTCAGGTCTTCCGCATAGAGGGAGGCTTGACAGGGAGGAAGGATTTGGTCTGCTGATAGCTTGAGGGAAAAAGAAAAAAGAAAAAGAAACCCAACTCCCCAAATATACTGTGACTCATATTTTAAGCAAATCTCACACTTCCCTGCTTTATGTTTGGCAGTGCTCTCCAGTTTCAGAGGCTGATGATACAAACAAAAGAAAATGGAAAGTTAGAGGAGGCTATAAGTGGTTACTCGACAGAGATCATAAAATGTAGTCAAACATCACCAATTTGGACTAATTTCAGCGAAATGAGAGTAAATAAGTGAGACATGACGCTCTTTGCAGATACACATACTGAACTAAATCTGAACTGGTCGCGTTCTTGGGTGACATTGTAGTTTATGGTGAAGGCATGAATTGGGTACAGATATTGCTTCTGAAGTTCTTGAAAAATATTCTACTTAGTAACCTAAATAGCTCCTTACTTGGTCTATTAATTTGCTTTGCAAATTTTTTTTATGAATGGTACAAGTGAAAATTGGAAATTGGCCCCGTCATAAATTCAGCCTCAGAAGGATCTGAATTAATTAAATGCAACTCAGTGAACATTTCTAGAACAGCCACAACTTACAGGGCATCAAGCTGCTGTTCAGAGATGTAAAAATGTCTAGGAGACAGACCCTGCCTGCAGGATGCTTGAGCTGTGAAAGAATTAACCAGGTTTTGCCACAGAAAGAAAATTATATGTGAATAAAAATAGTAGGCTTCCTTTTATAAATATTTATATACTCCTGAAGATTGCTAAAACAAGTGAAATAAATGCCTAACAGTGCAGGTGCGCTCATAACCTCGAAAATGTGTAACTTTCCTGGCTGAAGATTAATTTGTGAGCAATTTTATTGATCACATTTTGGAACTTTGACCACCGTTTCTGGGTAGTAATTCATTTGGGTTCTTTAAGCATTTTAGTTGTTGGCACAAGGACATAAACTGGAAGGAAATCAAATGACACATTTTCTCCTAAGAAAGTAAAAGTACATGTGTATTCTGGCAGCAGTCAAGTTAAGAAAGAAAGTAAACCTTGTGTGTTGCTTACCGAGGAGAGCTGACCACCATTTCAGGCCATGTATAAAGAATTTGAACTTGAAAGCAGTCATCTGATACTTTTCTCTCCTGTCCCATCCCCTCCTTCCAAGGTTATCTCATGTGCAAGCCCCTCACACAGGGGGCCCTTTCACTGGAAGGAGGGCTGGTGGAATTCACTGGAAGGGTCTGCCTTTTCGTCCGGTTGGAAGCTCAGGATGGTAATGAGGACTCCTGCTTTAAGTGGAGGAAGTGAAAATGCAAGATTCAGCAGGTGTTTTTTTCCACATTTTTATTTGCAGTTATATAAAATGTGCTTTAGGCAGCATTTTGCTTGGCATTAATGCCACATATAATCTTAGTACCTCGTATCATTTCCACGTTATTCACTGAGGAATAAACTGGTAAGAGGAAACCTTTAAAGGAAACTACGATTTTGTGGTGGATAGTGAAATGGAATGGTTTGGAAATACCCTTAAAGGATATCCCTATGCGCTGAATTAGTAAAGTGCATGAGTTCGGGAGAGAGGGAGGCAGATTTTTTTTTTTTTTTTTTTTTTTTTGTTTGGACTTTACATT